AACCTGTCTGGGTAGGACAATGGCCTATGACCTCTGAGAAGTTAGAAGCTTTAGAAAACCTGGTTCAGGAACAGCTAAATGCTGGACATATCGAGGAATCTACCAGCCTTTGGAATTCTCCTGTATTTGTTATAAAAAAGAAATCTGGTAAACAGAGATGCTTACAGACCTGAGAGCCATCAATAAAGTTATCCAGCCAGTGGGCTCTCTACAGCCTGGAATGCCCTTGCCTTCTTTGATACCCAAAGAATGGCCTATTATAGTTATTGATTTAAAGGATTGCTTTTTCACTATACCTTTACAAAATCAAGATAAAGAGAAATTTGCCTTCACAGCACCTAATTACAATAATTCTCAACCGGTGAAGAGATATCAATGGAAGGTTTTGCCACAGGGAATGCTAAATAGTCCCACCCTGTGCCAATATTTTGTACAAAAACCGCTGGAAATAATTTGTAAACAGTTTCCACAATTTATAATCTATCATTACATGGATGATATATTGTTAGCTGACTCTAAAGGAGAAATATTATAAAAAATGTTTGAGAAGATAAAGGAAGTTTTGCCTCACTGGGGATTACAAATTGCACCCGAAAAAATACAAAAAGGAGATTCTTATAACCTTTCTTTAAGCCCTGAAGTTTAAGAGCTTTTGCTTCCTCTCTCCATAAAGCTCTCCATTCTAATTGAGAGGAATTTTCAAGGACAGCTGATATTAATTGATCCCAATCCTTAGGAGTTACCTTGTTATTCCTTGATCATGATTCTGTCAATTGCTTCACACATGGTGAGTGCATGCCATAAGAGATTACTGTTTCCTTTATACCTTTTAAATCTTTCAACATATTGGTTTTTTTCATTGCTGGTTTTTCATTAATAGATACAGGGGAAACTCCCCTGATACTAAACAGTGTAGAAAATTTTAAGTCTTTTTCATGCCCTGTTACCTGTAGTTCTTCTGATGTATCAGACTGCAGGTCTTCTAAGGCCTGAAAGCTATTCTCCATTGCTTCTTTGAGTGTGTCTGAATTTCTTGAATCATGTAACTTTCTAGAAACTTCATTGCATCAGTCAGTTTCTTCCTTTCTCCAAGTATGAATGATTCCATGTTTTTAATATTCTCATCCTTAGATATTATCTGAATGGCATGTAAACTGCCTTCCAGAAGCAATGTTCTATCCTCCAGCTTGCCATTATCCTCAGCTATGGAACAGATTCTATCTGCTAGTCTTTCCATCTGATGTTCCAGTTTATTTACCTTATCAGTAGCCTTGTCCAACCAGGAATGAGCTGTTTCTGCTAGTGTGTTAATGCACTGCATTGTTTCTGCTTTGGTTTGGTCATTTTTATGTTCCATATTTTGTATTCTACCTGTCAGCTCTCTATTGCCATCTTCAATATTTTGAATCAATGATTTGTACAAGTTCCTTATTGTTTAATCTCAACCATTTCTTTAAGAATATCATATTAATGATGAAACCCATTGCTATTATAAAAAAAATGTATATATTGGTTATTGGTCCAGTCATAATTTTCTTCTGCTAAAATTCCTTTTATATATGAAGTAAAAAAAATTCCTAAATTACACCTTGGGTGTAATTCTGCTGTCCTGGAACTTTGATGCTTTTAGTTGTAGATGTCAGCTTGTGGTAGTTACGCCTGGAGGTATACCACTAAATAGCATTAGGCAGCAGACGATCCTTCTGATCCTGGTCCCTGTAGGATAGCTCTTAATAAACTAAGGCAAGCAAAATTTTGTTAAATAAAGGAGTGAAACGAGCCTTGTGCAAATTGCTGGGACCACAGGGCTAACAGGTGCCACCTCCAACTGGTGCCGCCGGGCCGCAGGAACATACAAGCAGGGCAGGCCCAGAGGCTGGGCTGTGCACAGGAACACACAAGCAGGGCAGGCATTGCAGGGCTGTGTGCGAATGCAATGGGCAGGGAATGGGCAGGAGATGAGCCGTGGTTTCAGGGCTGTGGTGGAGATAAAGGAGTTGTAGGGCAGACACAAACATCTCACAAGCTGTGGTGTGTCTGCCTGGTTAGGCAAGGCAACCACCTGTTCAGGGATGGTGGGGGAAGGGAACAGCATCTGCCGCCTAGGTGAAACCCAGGGTGAAAATCCTGATCCCACTTCTGACACCAGATATTGTGGTTTAATAAGGATCAGGATAAACAAATAGGCCGAATAGATGTTTATTCAGGGAGAAATAACTTACAACCTAGACAGATGAACACCAGCAGGTTCCACCAGATGCTCTCTCTGTCCGAGGCCCACCAGCAAGAGAGCGTTCCTAGGCTCCTCCTGAGACCTAGTTCCACAGGTCACTTCCATCCCACAATGAGCGTAGTCAGTGCCACAGAAGCAAAGTGAGTATTTCACTACACATGTCCCTTCAGTTTTATACTCTCATGGTCAACTAAGATCAACTAAATATGTGGTCTGCTGAGGCCACTCAGGACTGAACTTGGCCTTTGCCTAGAATTAAACGCTTATTCCAGGAGCCCACCCAGTAGTACTCAGATCCCACAGTCCATCCACATACACCAGACAAAAGGAGCTGGCTGGTTTCTCAACAGAGTTGTGCAAATGGCCCAGAGCTACCCTAGTTCTGTTGAAAGCATGGTCTGTGTTTCTATTTCCTGGATTGCCGTGTAGTACGTGTGTCCACCTGTGTGTATTGGGATTACAGGCATGTACTGCCACAGATAGCTTCCTCACTTACAAACTCATTGGTTCTACAAAAACCCTTTGAAGTAACTGACTGCTTGAGTTTGGCAGTTGCCTTTCAATGGCCAGGTGGGGATGGCTACACCCACTCCCCATAGCTGCACAAAGCAAGAAAGGGCTTTCCGGGAGCAGTGGAGCCCTGCACTTTTGGGGGACAATGGGGACTGTATTTCTGTGCTACCTCCCTAGTTGGATTTTAGATGGATGGACTGACAGACGGATAGAATGAATGAATGAATGAAAAAAACCAGCTCAATATCTTATCATTCAAATGCTACTTCTAGTAAGGATAGTTAATGGTATAACTAAGACACCCAAGCATGTGCCAGGAAATCTCACCCATACTAAAGGAGTGACCATGGGCCTGTGTATATATATGCCCACGAACTCAGCATCCAGCCTTGCAGGCTGGCTCTGGAACCTGTTCCCACTTTGCTGCACACATTCTTGACCATGTCTGGTAAGCTGCACGATGATCACATGGGCCATTGTTCTCCTGGACACTTTCCTGCAGATTAACAAGTGTGCTGGTGGTGGGAGCTATAGCCTTAGCAAAGCAGCTTTCTCCTGTTTCCCCTGTATGACAGCAGGTCCCCCCAGCTGGGATGCCTTCTAAGTGATGTCCACACTTTGAATCTGGGAAGGTGCTGGAATGGCTGGACCTTAGTCAGTTCTAGGTCACTTTCTGTCAAAAATTGACCACAGGCCAAGCTGAGTTCCTCAGAATTCCATGCAATTTCCATGTCTGCTCGGCTCACAAAGTGGAGGTCAGGCCCACCATACAGTGGGTCAGGAAAGCAAGAGCTTGGATGTGATTGTTTGACTAATGGAAGCCTGTGGGTGTGTGTGAGCATGCAGACCCGCGCTCTGCCCTGTGCAAATGACTGTGTGACTCTGTGGGCTGCAAAGCCTCAGCTTTTCGTTTCTTCTGTTCTCTCCTGAAACTGTCCTGAAGCACCTAGGGCTTGGGCCTGCCTCCTAAGACTCTTCCTCAAGCCTTTCCAGCCAAGGTCAGGTTCTATGTAATCACCAGTGGCCACTATGGAAGGAACTGTAAATGGCCACTGAGTGTTTGGTGGTTAGTTCCTCTTCCTGTGTCCTTCTATTTAGGGTCTCTGGTATGAATCATGAGCTCGTGCTGTGAACTTAGTGAGTTCTGCCTGGTGCCAGCCGTGGAAATCTGCCAAACTTTGCTGGTTAGATCCTGGCTTCTCTACCCAGCCCTTGCTTGCCAGAAGGTGTGTGTGTGTGAGCATGTACTCACACTCACCTTGTGCTGGGGACAGACTGGGCTTTAACCCAACCCTTTGATATGATCTTAGAGGATCTGTAATCTGGAGCTGTTCCCTACTTCAATCGATCCCAGAATCATTCCTTTGTGGTCTTCAGCCAAGAATCAGTCCATACAAGGCAACAGGAGAGTGCATATATTGTATTAATTTTGCACAGCCCTGGGGATTTCCATAAGATTCGGACCAGAGAAATGACCAAAGCATTGGACATAGTGGTACACACCTGTAATCCCAGCCATCAGGAGGATTGTTGAGTTCAAGACCAGCCTGGGCCATATAGCCTGGCTCAAGAGAGCAGGAGCTGATAATGGAGGTTAGTGGTAGAGTGCTTACCTCACACATACAAGGTTCCACCCACAGCCAAAAGGAAATAAAGAAGGAGGGGCCACAGCTTTCCTGCTTTCTGAAGCAAAGAATGGTAATTTTGTAGGGAAAATAGAACACATCTCTGGAATGAGCTGGTGAGGGATATCACTTGGTAACTGTGAAGCCAGCTGGAAAATGAGGGTCACCCCAATAAGATCATTTTTTCGGGCCCCCAACTCTGTTCACAGTCTCTGCCTGATGAAGGCTATTTTTCTGTTTTGGTGCCAGAAGACCTCATCCCAAGAAATCTTCACATTCTTTTGTATGTGGCCCATCCTGCACCCAGTTCCTCTTTTAGCTTGAAATAGTCACAATACCAGTTTGGTGTGAGATGGCACCTCCTTCACCGAGAAAGCACCCAGGGTTGGGGACCATGCCTCACTGGCCTCCACACAGGACTCCAGGAGGCACACATGTACCTGTTCTGGCTAGCAGCAGGCTGCAAGGTCTCCCCTAGCTCTTACCCAGTGAGTCATGTGGGCGTATGCTCTGAACCTTGACCCTCCTTTAGCACAAGGAACCAATGGTGCTCTGGGCTAAGTTCTGGGTGGGTGAAGCAGGAAGGGCACAGGCCACATAAACCTGTCTACTTCACTCCTGCCCTGCAGATGCTGTTGGCTGCCATCTCATTGGGTCTCCTGTTGTTGGCCCTCCTCCTGCTCCTGCGACGCCTGGGCTGGGGCTTGATAGCTATCTTCTGGTTTGAGTTTGTGCAACAGCCAGTCCGCAACCTGCTCATGGGTGACACAAAGGAACAGCGCATCCTGCGCCATGTGCAGCAGCATGCTAAGCCTGGAGATCCTCAGAGCGTACTGGAGGCCATTGACACCTACTCCTCACAGAAGGAGTGGGCCATGCATGTGGGGGATGCAAAGGGTACGTGACCTAGTGTGCAGGTGACGGCTAGAAATGGGAACCCAGACCTGGGTGTGGTGGTCTTTGCAGGGGAGGCTGTTAAAGTGGGAGGGAATCATGGGTCATTCTCCTGCCTAGCCCCCTTAGAGACCATAACATTTATACTTGAAGGAACCAGTTAGGTGTGCAAAGGCTTGGGGCGGGGGGGAGGGGTCCTCTGGACTATAAGCATTAGAAGAGTTGGGATGTTACTGGTCTGGAGAGGAGCGAGGCCCATAACTGGGGGTGGAGTTCCCCTCCTTCTGCCTATATTCACATCCTCTTACATCACTCTCTAGGCCAAATCATGGATGCAGTGATCCGTGAGTATCGTCCCCTGCTGGTGCTGGAGCTAGGAGCTTACTGTGGCTACTCAGCTGTGCGGATGGCCCGCCTGCTGCCCCCTGGAGGCAGGCTTCTCACCATGGAGATGAACCCTGACTATGCTGCCATTACCCAGCAAATGCTGAACTTTGCAGGCCTGCAGGACAAAGTATGGCCCTATAACCAGTGTGGCGGCTGGAGCTGGGAAGGCTAAGCAGGCAGGGAGGGGAGGGAAGATGAGTTCAGTCACTAGCACCTGCCATGTCAAAGGAAGGAACCCCAGCAGGTTAGGGACAGTCTTACTGAACTATCCTACAGAGCCAGCAACTCCCAGGGCTGCCCCAGGAGAGACTACACAGTGCAGACTCCTCTCCAGAGCCCCAAGAAATTGATATATGTACATGTAGGGGCCCAGGCAGGGTCCTGCATATCCCTGTGGGCACAGCACTGACAGAACACTGTTCCAGGTCACCATCCTCCTTGGGGCATCTCAGGACCTCATCCCACAGCTGAAGACCAAGTATGATGTGGACACATTAGACATGGTCTTTCTTGACCACTGGAAAGACCGCTACCTGCCAGACACACATCTCCTGGAGGTGAGCTGAGCTGACCCTGCTTAGCAGGATGGCTTCTGTGCTATCACTGTTGGGGTAACTGGGCTTTGGCCTCTCTGAAGAATCCCACTGAGAGCATAGATGGGCCCAGGGACAGTCTGGGAATTCAGTGGCAGATGGAGATGGAAGGGAAGGGGTTCTGGGTAGGAGTGCCAGGCCAGGGACTCCCTGCCTTGCAAGCAGGGTTCTGCTAGGAAGAAAGATGAGCACTAGAGACCAGGACACCTAGGCCTAAAGAACACAGGGCTGAGTGAGTGTACCCGAGGGAGCAGAACTTGCCACATGTGTGTGACTTGGGGGTAACTGAGGCTGGCCACGGGGATGGCAAGCATGTTCTGGATCTTCCCTGAAGCTTCTGCTCTACACCTCCACTCTCCCTAGCCCCTTCCTGCCCTCAGCACTGCTGCTCAGTCAGCGTCACCTAGCAGAGACCCCAGTGATTACTGATGGAGTCATCCCTACTCCCAAGTTACTAGAGTGTAAGGATGCATTACCTTGTCCTGCTCTGTTGGCCAGAAAAGGGACAGGGAGGCTCCTTAACCTTCATTGGGTTTCCTCACAGCCTTCTATAGCTAACATGGGACTGTCCATGTGGTGTTGTCCAGTTGTCTTCAAGAGTATACCCTGTCATGTATACTAGAAAGTGAGGGGTCAGCCAACAAGCCCATGGGCGGGATAGGGCCACTGTGGCTTGGATGTGGTTTAGACAGTTCTGGGGAATATAAAGGCACAGAGGAGAAGTCAGGCATGAGCTTTGGGCAAGAGACGGGGAGGATTTTTACTGACCTTGTAGAGGCATGGACAGGGTGAGTAAGGGAGCTATTTCTGATGTCCTTCAAACTGTTTTGGAAGTACTGAGCTGGTGGGAGACAGGGATATACCAGGGCAAGGAAGTTGTACCAGAGGATCTGCTTCTAACAAGAGGGCAGGCAGTAAGGACAGAAAGGAGACTAGCAAGCCAGGTCAACCACAAGAAGCTAAACATGAGGCTACAGACAGCAAGTGGCTGACAGGAGAGCCAGACCACAGTGCAGGGAGTGGGTCTCTGCAGCTTTCTGTGTGTGGTAATTGCAGGGACCTGCTTTTAGAAAAGCAGCAAATACTGCTGTTCAGTAACTAGAAGTTAACAGTTCTTAGCACTGCTGCACAAACCTGTCAATTAGCTCCCAAAGAGAGGCAAGCAATGGGAATGGCTGCACTTTTTTTTTTTTTTTTTTTTTCTTCAGTGTATGGTTGTAGAGAATTGAACCCCAAGGACAAACCTTTTAGGAACAGTGACACTACCTCACCACCAGTCTCAGTGGTGCCCAGATACAATCTCAGTACCTGAAGGCAGGAGGATGGTATTTGAGGCCAGCCTCTGTTACATAGTGAGACCCTGTCTCACAAACATCTTACCTACAGTATTCTGCACTCCACTGTATCCTTATCGTAGAAGCCCAGTTACTTCTACCTCCAATTCCCTGGGTGACCTGAGATGTCTTTCAGGAAGCTCATGGTACCTGAATACAGACAGGACAGGGCATGTTTCCTGAAGGGCGGTGGGTCCCCAGCACCTCCAGAAGTGCCTATCTTCCGTCCTGTTATGATGAAATCAGGAAGTTTTATATCTCGACGTCATTAGTCTTACTGATAGTCAACATTTAACTCTTGATGTTTCCAAGTCCCTGGCTGAGCCTGGGATTGCCTACTCCTCTTGTTCCTTCCCTGAGCTACAGGGCCCTTTCTGGACTGGGTGACCCCTTCCTTCAGAGCAGTTCCTCACTGAGGTCTTTCTAGCCCATGCTAACATGACACTTTTGTTTTCTACTTTCTAAGCACGAATGTGTTGTGATTCTTAGCGCACAAGACTATCCCCTGAACTTACTGACAGGTCTGGGGTCCCTCGGCTCTCTCATGACCCAGAGGCTGAACATTACTAACCCCACAACCACTGGATCCAGCTGGAGCCCTGGACAACCATTAGGGGTGCAGCTGTGCCCTGCAACAGTATAGACTCTTCTGCATTAGGGTTGGGGGTATTTTTGGGTGTATGGTACTATGAACAGAGCCTTGAGTCATACCTGCTAGGCAGTGCTCTTGTCACTGAGCTATACTTCAGCTCTGGCTATTTACTGGATTTTACTTTCCATTTTTGGGTGGCTTTGTGTGTATGTTTATTTGAAGACAAATGTCTTATGTAGCCCAGGCTAGCCTAGAACTTTCAATCCTCCTGCCTTAGCTTTCTGAATTCTGAGATTATAGATGGGTGCCACATCAGACAGGATTACTTTAACTTTTGTTTCATGATTATGTTAAAAACAAACCCTTAAGCTTCCTAGGCAACCTTCAAATAGGCCATCCAGGTGTGCTGTTTCCTGTTCCCCTCCTCCCCACCCTAAACACAAGGTACACTTCCTTATCAGATACTTCCACGATGTCAGCAGACATACTTGCCATAGTAGATAGACAAGCATCCTACATGTGAGACTTCTTAGAACCACAGCTTCTAAAGCCACTACTTTGGGGGCCCAGGAACAACTCCTTCTTTCTACTTAGAGCCCTGGCATCTAGTGTCTTCCCTGACCCAAGTGGAAAGTCCAGAGCAGATCCTGAAGGTCAGGGGTATTGATGAAGACCCCATATTTTTGGCAGAGTGTTTGAGGGAAACTGGCCTTCTGGTACCACCATCTATCTGTGGTTGCCCATATGCCCCCTTGGGCTGGGGATGGAAACAGGGGAAAATAGGTAGTAGCTGGAAGTGACTATGTGGGAACAGCTGCTGTAGGATTGAAATAGGTTTGCCAAGCATTCATGACCCTCCCTGTTTGTCCCCCACAGGAATGTGGCCTATTGCGCAAGGGGACGGTGCTTCTAGCTGACAATGTCATCATCCCAGGAGCCCCTGACTTCCTGGAGTATGTGAGGGGGAGCAGCAGCTTTGAGTGCACACACTACAGCTCATACCTGGAGTACATGAAAGTGGTAGACGGCTTGGAGAAGGCAATCTACAAGGGTCCAAGCAGCCCCATGAAATCTTGAAAACACAGCTTGCCCTGAGTTCCCCTTCCAGCTTCCTTCTGCAAGATGACACACACTCATGCTGACCCCTCTATGCTTCTGGAGCCCGTCCTCAAATGCCTTGGCTCCTGACATACCTGACTGGCACACTCTAATGTTCATGGGCTCACAGTCCAAAACCATTGTGATAACCCTGAAAAGCACCTGTGGATAAAAGGCTGCATTAAAGCTGAGGGTGTAATGGCTCACAGTGCCTGCCTAGCATGCAAGAGGCCTTGAGTTTAATCTTAACACCAGAAAACAAAAGGGAGTGGGGGGAAAAAGTCAAAACAAGTGTCATCCCGTTAGTGTCACCTAGAAGATCCTCCTAGGGTTTCAGTTCCAGATCCCTGGGCTCTGCCGTCATCGGTCCGGACCACTGAGAAGTCAGGAGATTGAAAATACACAGATGCTGTTTGACAAGACTGTCACCAGCAACACATACCACACTTGATCTTAAGAATGAGTCATAAACTTTCTAGGTGTAGTGGTGCACATCTTTAATCCCAGCACCTGGAAGGCAGAGGCAGACAGATCTAAGTTTAAAGCCAGCCTGGTCAACACAGTGAGTTCCAGGACAGCCAAGGCAACCGAGAAGAGACTCTTGTCTTAAAACAAACAAACAAAAAAAAAAAGATAGAGTTACAGTCTGTTTTTCTAGTTATGTTGTGATCTTTTATTGCAAAAAGAAATTAAAGATCTAAGTATTTGGATACAAAGATCCACTGACTATTCTTCTTAACTACCACACTGCTCTTACCTGATGCCATGCTGTCCCAGCTGCTCTCGACCCATGTGTGGTACTCAATAGATAGTCTCTCCGGCCCGACTTCCTGGCTTACAGAAGTGGAAGTAGGCTCTGACCACAGGGCATGTCTGCAGGCACCCTACTGGCCAGGATGCACCAACTCACAGGTAGAGTTACCCTAGCCCCCACCACCTCCTCCTCCAAGAGGCTCCTCAAGGCCTCAGAAGGGAGGGGACTGTTTCCAAGACTAGACACAAAGATCAATCCCACCTGAGCCTAGATTAGTCAGCCAGCACACCCCTCCTGGGCTGAGGGTGCCAAAAGGAAGGAGCAAGCAGTGGCTGCAGGCCAGAACCAGAGCCTCCCACAGAAAAGAGACTTGAGGAAACTCATCGCCAGGTGGCAGCAGTGGCTCAGTTAACCCAGTGGGACGTGCATTCTGGCTCGTGCCTGCTGCTCTGCTGAGACTGAGTCACACGACAGGCAGTTCCTTTACTGTTTTTTAATCTTTAAATTTCCTTACAAAAATTTCAATGTTTGCTGATACAGTCTTATTTTGGTTTCAATTTTAATGCTTTCTGTCAGTTTTCTTCATTTTTAAGTCACGAACAGCAGGCACTGAAGAGCAATTCCCCTTCTGTTGCTGCTGCCCTCATTCAGGCCGTGAGGTTACTTGAGGTTCTGGGCAGATGCAGATGCAACAGCAGGGTGGCCCTGGCCACAGGCAGTTTAGGAGGACACTGCAGAGGGAAGGTGTCCCAGGAATCCAAGGACAGTGGGGCTGGGGGCAAGCACAGCTTGTTCCCCAAGCTGTCTGCTTCCTAAACTTCCCTTCCTGGACACTCTTGGAAAGGCCCTCTCTGTGATCAGCCTGCATGCAGGGTAGTACTACAGCCACCCTTGGGAGCACAAGTTCTTTTCCAAGGCCCCCCACTTGTCCCACTGCCTGTTCTAGGACCTCCACTCCAGGTTCTATTTGTTCTGGCACTGTGAATGGGGACACTCCACCCCTTCTCTCCCACTATACAGCACCATGTCAGTAAACAGCTAACTCAGGCCTGGAGAGTCAGGTCAGGAGAGTGGAGGAGAGGAGGGATATCCATAAAGTCAGGCCCTTGCTTGGGACAAGAGGCTTGGCCAACCCACCACATAAGGGTGGAGCTCCGGGTTCTGCTCAAGATGGCCTTTCCGAACAAACAGCTGGGCTGGGGCCCTGCAAAAGACAAAGACAGATGCTTTATTAGGAGCCCAGACAGGCAACAGAGCCAGCAACATACATGTAGCAGGGTGGCTTGGGAGGTTCCACACAGGGCTGCTGCCTACAGGGGCCACACAGAGACAGTGGCTGAGGGTTGAAGGGTGGGCCATGGCAAAAGCCTCTAATGCAAGGCCAGTCCTGTCTTGCTAGTCCTCACAGGGCCCTATGATGGGGGTATTTGAGGAAATGAAGGGCTGGTCTCTTAACCCTGATCTCTGGGGGGGGGGGGGGTGAGACAGGGCTGTGAGCACTGGGAGGGTCTTCCTGAGTCATGCCAGGAACTTAGACATGCAGCAGCAGAGACAAGAAGCCCCAGTCCACAGATGGGAAAACCAATCAAATAAAGGGACATACCAGGCATGCAAGCTAGACCCAGGAGTCAACAGGCTGAGGCTTAGCATCCCCCACAGTGTCCACCAGCCTGACTGAGGGCCTGTTAGGCCCAGGCGGAGGGACCTTCCTGCCAGGGTCGGACTGCAGTGCATGGCGAGTAGGCAGACAGGAGTTAGAAGCAGGAAGAAAAAAAAAAAAAAAAAAGGACAGGTTAAGTGCAACTAAGGGCAGGCTAGGCTGGTCAATGTGGGCAAGGAAGGGGTCAGATGGAGGTGGGCTTGCCAAGGCAGTACAGGGTGGTCCAGCTCTGGAGCTAGTGTGGTTCACACTATTATAGAGTGGTGCATGGATATACCCAGAGGCTGGTACATGAAGCCAGGTACTGGCACCGAGTAACAGATGCTTCCCTTTCCAGGGGACCATGGTGGATACTCTGCCCCCACACATATACAAAAGAAGGGTACAGATCCACTCACTCAAACTCTGGTCCTGTGCAGCCTGTGTCCAGGCAGAGCCGCCCCATCCACTCCTTTGCAACAGGTGTATGCAGTAACCCCCTCAGCACCAATGTCACTGATATATGGGTTACTTCCTGGACCCTGCAAGTGAGTCCAGCCACATCCCAGAGCCCTGATATGGTTATTCTCATCAAGCCTCAATGGGTAGTCACTGTGACTCACTTTCAACAGCTCCTTCTCAGAGGTCTCCCCTATGGAGTCGTTGCCCAGTGTCCTCCGCTCCCTCCGGTCAACTGTGGCATACCCATCTGTGGGGTGGAACATAGCAGGAAACGAGAGCTCTGGGGAAGGCACCACATAGTTGATCTTCCTTAGGCTCAGATACTGAAAGCCCCGGAACAGGGACTTCTGGGCTCTGTGCTAGCTCCTACCAGCCTTGAGGCCTCCACGCCACCTAGCTCTTCTCCTGTTGACATTTCACCATTTTATCTTCCCAGCATGAAATCAGCCAGCCCACCCAGGTTGCCAGCTCTCCTTGATCCTCTTCCCTGTGTGCCTGCTCACCTGGACCAAGTGTATCCATGGGGATCACATCTCGGGTGGCTGACTTCTCCCCATCTGCAAGGCATGAGTAGTGTTTTGGAAATGGGCAGGCATGGGGAAGGCAGGGCAGACACACTCACCACAGGACAGTCCTCAATGACATCTAATGCACAGCACTCCTTCCCAGCCTCTGCCTGTTGGCACCCACCCTGGCTCCCTGGGAAGATGAGTTCCCAGGAGGCCAACTGCATGAACAGCCTGAAGCGCTGAGCCAGCTATCTTAACAGGAAAGTCCTGTCTCCCTACCCCCACATACCTTGTGTACTAGCAGATGGGAGCTACCCTTGAGCCTCAGGGGTAAGTTTCATGTCCCTCTCCCCACTGGTGCTCACCAAGGTTCTTGTCTACCAGTGGCAGTGTGCTGTCATCAAAGCCCCCAGGACTTGGCATTCCTTTGGGTCCTTTGGCAGTGCCAGCAGACTAGGGAGGCACAAACACAAATAAGAGGTAATGCCAATGACACTCCTACTTGGGAACAAACCTGGCAAAGTGAGAGAGGAGGTGGGATGGCTGTACCTGGAAGCGTGCCTTGGTCCAGCCGTCTCTCTGAAGGGCTCCACGAAGCTCCTTGTAGCTCCACACTGTCTGCAGCACGTGCGATGCTGCCTTGGCCTCCCGCACAGAGTGGCTGCAGTAGCAGCAGGGCTAGGGTCAGTGGTGTTACCTCTTCAGTGTCCCTCCACCCCTCCGAGCCCACCCTGCCCTCACCCACCTGGAGGCCACGAGTGCCACCAGTGCAGGCACACCACGGGCCTGCAGGAGGGAGCGAGCATTGTCCAGGCTGTTGGACACAATCTCATGGATGGTGTTAAGCACAGCTACCACGGTATCCTCCTCCAGGTGGGCACTAGGATGGGCAGGTGCCTGTGCATTGCGAACATTCCGCACCAGCTCTGTCATGGCATAGCTCCCTAAGAGGTAGGGTCAGATATTAGGATACATCCTGCCCTACCCGAGGGAAGGAGCAGTGGTCAGACAAAAGTTATTTCCAGGCCTGCCATATCCTCTAAAGCAGAAGGCTGAGCCTCAAGGACTAAGGAAGGAAGACCCAAACTCCCACAGCTCAGCATAGGCGCAGCCCAACCACATGGATGGAATCTGGTACCCTCAACTCCATCTTCCAATGATCTGTCCCCAACACCTGCCCTCCTTCACAAGTCCTGAGTTAACACCCATCCTCACCAATGAGGTCTTTGTTACGCTGGTCTAGTGAAAGGTTGCGCAGCGCGATGGCAACAGCTCGCACCACCTTGTCAGTTTCTGACTGTAGCAGCTCCACTAGCACGGGCAGCCCACGCTCCTTGCGCACTGTGGCGCGGATGTACGTGGCCCACTGTGAGGGTGGCACAGGAGGTGACTGCTCAGAGGGGAGTTGCCTTACACAATACCTATCCCAACAGCACACACCAACCACCCTGGCCAGGGCACAGTGCTCTGAGCCACCTGACCCTGAGGATGTGCTTGTCCCCTTTTCTCCTGCTGGTCCAGATGGAGGCAAAGGCTCAAGGCAGAACCTGTAGAATATCTGGAATTCTGCCCTGCCCTCCCTGCCAGCCCGACTCCTCACCGTCCAGTTGCCAGCACTGAGGTTTTGCAGGGCACCAGCTGCGGCTTCCAGAGTGTTGAAGTTCCGGCTCTCCGTAAGGAGTGAGAGGTAGAGACGTACCACCTCGGGCTGGTACAGCAGCTCAAAGCCTGGACACAGGGCAACGGTAATCCAGAGTGATAGTAAAATCCCCCCCTCCTCCAGCCCCTTCTTATTCATCGTTCTGGAGCTAGAATGAGCTGCCTGGGACAAATACTGAGCAGTCTAGTCATGTTGAGTATCATTCAGAGATGGGCAAACTGACAGTCAGCCAGGAGTCAGATCAGGTAGACAAGGCCATTCCTTCCTTAACCCTGCTTTCAAAGAATTGGCCCTGGGCTCACCTGGTAGCCTGCACATCTAGGAGGTATGGCAGACAGAGATGGACACTGAGCTACTTCTTTAACAACAGAACTCACTTCTGGGTGTGACTAGGGCAATACCCCTAAACACAAGGCTCATCTACCCGCTCTTGACAATAGGAACCACCTTCAACAGTAAGTAACAGACTGTGTAGCTGGGGCCCCACCTCTAACAATAGGCCCTGCATCCCAGGCAACCATTCCAGGCTCCCCAGCAACGGAGGCCCAGCCTGGCAGCAACAATGGTGACTAGAAGAAGGCCGCAAGGGTAAGAGGTAAGGTGCCTTCAAACCTGCCTGTGTTAGACCAGAGCTTCTGCCTAGCTCAGGACATTACCCCCACATCCCACAATTCATCACTCTCCCCTTACCCTCCTTTCCCAATTTTCCCTCCACTCCAGCCTGCTGGGTCTCCTGTCCCCCAAGTTCTCCAGAAACATTACCCTCTCAGAGCATCAACAGGCTGGCTATTGTGCCTGGGCCCTTCCACACCCCAGTTAAGGGCATCTGGGTTCTTACATCCTGGGCCCCACCAGGGCAGTCTTTCCTCTCAATAGGATTAGTTCCCAGTGTATAACACAATGTCAGTGTACACTGGAAATCCAGCAAACATAACAGCAGGGGTAATCCACCCTGCACTGCAGAAGCCCATTCCCTGGGTCATGCCTTCGAGAAGTAACACAGCTCAGTCCCTGTCAGCAACCCTCCAATCCACCCCTCTCTTGCTGAGTGACTGTGAAAGAGTCTACCTGAAACACCTATGCACACTGACTGAACCCTCAGGAAGTGCCAAGCCCCAACCATTCCCCAGGAAACCGAACTCTGATGGATGAATCTATTTGCTTATCTGACCCTCCAGCCCCTTCCAGGACTACTCAATGGCACAAAGCCTTGACCTCTTGGCCAGCACAGGTTCCAGGTTCCCCACCTCTGCCTCTTTACCCATTTACCTTTGGCAGTCTCAGTTCGTTTGGGCAGGTCCAATGTGTCAAAGTTCCGGTCCATCTCTCCATCCTTCTTACCTGGAACAAAAGGGTGGTAGGCATTGAGAGGCAGAGTCCATGAGGGACAAGTCTGTGCCAAGTTAGGCACAGCCCTCTCCTGCTCAGAGACCTGGCAGAGATGTACTACTCTCAACCCCTTCTCCTTCAGCTGAGAGAGCTCTAGCAGGCAGCAAGCAGTGCAGGTGACATGATGCCCCTGGCCCGCTTACCCACATAGCATTTCTGTGGCACCCATCACCCACTTCATCAGAGAGGCAGATGGTCCCATGGAAGGACCACTCCCTGGGCCCTGCCCACTGTTTGCTATCCCAGTGCTGGCTTGGTAGCTCATTCTGACTTTGTAAGCAACAGCCCCTGGGCCTCCCTACCAGCTCAGAGCTAGCATTCCAGCCTCTGTCATGTCTATGCTGTTGTCATGGAGATGGCTACCCTTCCAGGGGACTGGGGGTAGGGCAGGGCCTGGAGGCTGGAAGGCATCCCAGCTGCCCAAAGTTGTCATGGAAATAACTGCTGGTGCTTAGGGAACATGGATGTCACCCTGTTGCCCACTGCACTTGCCAGACCTGGACAGCAGAACAAACAGGGACTCACCTTGGTGGAACCACTCCTCTGGGCGGCGGAGGAAGCACAGGAAAGAGGAGATGAGCCTCAACAGCAGTACCCTCCCATTACTCATATTCCCACCCATGCCAGGCAAGCAAACAGGCTGTGTAACCTCACTTAGGGAATTCTGGGGGCTCAGGACCAATACAGTACAGGGAAGCTCTATGGTCAGGGGCAAGCGAAGGCAGCGCACCTGTCCCACTGCCACTACTGGAGGATATGGGTACCTGAGACCTGCACCCTGCAGGTGCTGAGGATGCCTGGCCAAGTAAAAGAAAGGGGAGTGGTTACAGCTGCTCTGTGACTAGCCAGGTATTGTCATTTGTGTGCCCTTGGAATCCTTCCCCAGAGTACAGAGACAAATGCGGATGCCACACCATGGCCCACAGAAAAGGATTAAGCCGGGCCTTGGGTCTGTGCCTTTCCCAACTTGCTATATGCCCATGGAGGGTGTGGGTGGGGGTGACTAGATGAGTTAGCCTCCAGGAGTATCTGCCATGGATATTGGAAAGCCAAGCCCTGGGAGCAGTGGGAGAGAGATGTATCCCAGTCTCATTCACTCACCTTTGGTCTTCTTGCCACCAAAGCAGCTGGCGTCATCCTTCCTCCGACGCTGGGAGGCTGTAGCACTGCCCTGGACCCCAGGCTCAGCCTCCTGGTATCTGTCAGCCCCCGGAACCTCCTTGTGCACGTGGTAGGACAGATTCCGCATGATGCATACGCAGTTCTCTACTGACTGTGGGAAGATGTGGCCAGGTTGAACAGGAATACCACACACGGGGGCTGCTGTTCGTCCCACACACAATATGTGAAGCCATGGCCAGTGAACACCAATGGCACTGTCAGCCTAAGCTGGGGGGATCTGTGGGAAAGACCATGTCCCCTGCTCTGAGTAGTTCCTACCTGTTCCCACCGTGCCATTCTAGGGAGCTCCCAGCCTTGGTCCTGTTCCTATGACCCTTGGGTTCTGAGAACTTGAAGGGGAAAACTGTGAGCTAGTTCCCATCTGCCCCACCCACCTTATTGTCTGTGTCCTTCCTGCCCACAGCTGACTGCAGGGCATGTAGGAGGGCGTCCACCAGCCCTTCGCACTCACGGAGTCGCCGCCGGGCCTCTGCACCATCTGAGCTCACATTCCTGGGTGGAAGGGAGCAGGACCGCCCATGATCCCTGTTCTTGCCTCACTGACCATTCCAGCCCACTAGGCCTTAGTGGCTTTCATCTGCACAATGGGTCCTGCTGGATCCCAGTGAAGGTAAACAGGGTGGCCTGACTGTCCCAGGCACTGAGCTTTTTAGCCTTGTTCTGTGGGGGAGCTGACTCCCAGCTGAACTGGAATAGGCCCCAAGAGGTCAGAATCCATGATGTGCAGATAATTCTGCCCCATCATCCCAACAGCTGCTCCTAACATCAGGACCCTGCAGGGTCATGATGGTACAAAACTGAAGGTCAAGCAGGACCTCAGGGACTTAGGATTCCATCTGTGGTGTGAGGACAGCACTATTGGAAATCTCAGGGACTTAGGGTGTGGTTCCTAAGCTCCTAAGACTGGATGAGCTGGGCTATGAGCATGGCAGCTCCTGCCATCCTGCAGATCTGGCCTATGCCCCACCCCTGCTCACACCTCAGGCAGCCTGATGTATTCTTGAAGACCGTTGTCCACTCGGCATCCCGGGGCTTTGAGTCTTCGTTGGGCTCTCGCTCCCAGCCTGAGTGGGGTACGATGACCTCATGGGTTAGCGTCTGTAAGCCATGGTCAATGATGACCATCTTTAGGGGCTCATACGATGACAGGTTCCAGAGTGTGCCTGTAATGGGCCACTAGTCAATACTGTTGACCGTGGTCCTCCTGTCTTGGCCTCCCCAGGGATGACGCTTGTGATATTTCCCTCATTGTCTTCAGAAGGCACATGAAGCTAGCACAGTTGTTACTGAGTTTTTTGTTTCTCTGGTTGTCCCAGGGATGGTACCTAGGGCCTTTGCACATGCTAGGCAAGCACCCAGCTCATATAAGAAGTTAGGGGCAGTGAAAGGTATAAGAGGTTCTAGGGCCCCACAGAGCCAGGCGAGATGTACTGATAGCACCTAGTAGTGCCTTTCAGCTAATATGGAAGAGATAAATTGTAAGAGTGGCACAGCCAGTGACAGTTTATCCCATCCATTCCTGCTACATGAGTGGGTGGACTGGCAAATGCTCCTGAGGCCACAGGCCATAGAGAGAGCTCTATGGACCCCCACCCTCACCCCAAGTTCTCCAAGGTACAAGCCCTAGTCCTGTACTTTCTAAGGTAAGGAACCAGGGAGGTAGAGTCTGGTGCCAGAAACCCTATGGTTGAGAGAGTTGGGGACCCATCCCAGCACCTGAGCCTGCTATACTCCTGTTTCCCCACTTACGGGCTGAGCCATGCTTTTGTCAGCCATGGCCAAGGCCCACTCACCAGTGACCAGCTCACGGACCTCATTGTCACGGGCAGCCCGCAGCAGGCGCACCAGGGCTGGCACACCCCCGCAGTCCCGGATAGCAGCCTTGTTGTCAGCATCACGGCCATAGGAGAGGTTGCGCAGTGCCCCACAGGCACGGCGCCGCACCTCCGCCCGAGGGTGATCTAATAAAGCCACAAGCAAGGGCAGCCCTCGCAGCTGCCGTACGCGCCGCTTGATGCCCTCATTCTCAAAGCAGAGATGCTGTAGGTAGGCTGCTGCATTGGCTTTCACAGGGTCCACAGGGTGCCGCAGCATAGCCAGCACCTCTGGCAGCTCAGGGTCCCGCCAGCGTGGCTCTTTTCGGGCGCTATCCACTGAAGGTGAGCGACGCACTACTCGGTCCAAGCTGCCTAGGCTGCCCCTCTCAGGCTGGGCCAGAGGAGCTGTTGCTGCTGGGAATGGAGGTCGCTCGTCTATCAGCTCACCAGCATCATCTGCTGCATCTTCAAAGGCCCTGTGTGGGTGAGCAGATCCTGTCAACACCTTCACAGTAGCCAGCAGCCCTATCCCCCTACCCTGTTCAGGGGTCTGGGAATTCCCTGGGAAGGGGAACTGACAGCATCCTGTATCTCAGTCCCAAACACAGTATGGACACCACAACCCAGCCAGTGGAAGGTCAGGGTTACAGCCAAACACAGCCATTAATGGTCTGGTACTCCTCCCATGTCAGGACGTCCACTAGTAAACAGTTGTTATTTAACCATGGTTTAATGTGGTTCCCCATGGCATATGTCAGTGACAGGGAAGGGACCCTACCTCCTTTTTGTAACATCAGCTGACTATACCAGCATATGAAGATAAGAGTGAGTACCCTCCCTGCAAATGGCCGCTGCAATCAGACCATCTGATGAGACAGGTCTTTGGATCAAGCCCTCAAGCCCATTTCCCATCTGAATCTAGGAAGGTCAGGTAATTTGCCCAGAGTTACAAGGCAAACTCTAGACTCAGGGTGTCTGGTTCTGTTTTCATGCTACAGATATAAATGAGAGGGCAAAAAGGGCAGAATCAAGGGCAATGACAAGAAGGAGCAGGGCCTTTGGGTTTCACCTAGTATGCATAGTGGAGACATAGGTTAGAAACATAAGGTCAGAGGCCTTAAGTAGAGTCACACCATAAGCATCTGATGCCTGGGTCTTCATGGCCATCTGGTTATTAGAACAGAGATAGCTTCGGGTGACGCCAGCTCAATGCCTATCATCCCAGGCCTGTTCTTGCTGTCATCCTTGAGAAGAGATGAAGCTAATTCAAACTAAAATGTAGCCTGCTGACCTGTGGAATACTCTAGCTGGGAGTGGAAGACAGAATTACCAGAAGAGGCAGTCACAAGCAACAGGTGCTCACCTGGCACGGAGGCCCCGCCCATACTCAGGTCTCCTCCGAGCTGCTGTGCCATAGTCAGGCTCCAGGTCAGGGCCACCCTCATCATCGGCAGCAAGGCTCCGTGTATCATCCTCAAGGCCATACGGCTCAGCTTGGAAGTGCTCAGGCAAGGAACGGCCACTTGGTGGTCCAGGCTCAGAGCCCATGGGGAAGGCTTCTCGGCGGCCAGGCAATGTAAAGCAGCCATCACCAGGCCCTGGACCCAGGAGCCCAGTACGTGGGGGCCGAACCCCAAGCCCTCGGGACAGGCTGCCATAGCTTGGAATATCACGGGGCTCAGGGCCATCAGGAAAGCCACCTCCACTGCTGAGGTAGGCTCGGGAAAGTGTGGCTGCTGGGCCACCACCACGTAGAAGGAAATGCCGGTCCAGGGGCCCATCAGCAAAAGAGCCAAGTGGGGGCCCACCATCCAGCAAGGGGAGTCCATCTGGGCCCAAAGGCACCTGGCGTACTGTCCTTGTGGTCACAGTCTTGACCGTCTTGGTGACCTGATGGATGAGAAAGTAGCATATGGGCTTGGTGGTTCTAGAGGCCTGAATAGTTCCAGGGTCCTCCATCCAAACAACAAGTGATACTTAGGTGGTCAGCTCACATGCCTGTCCTACAGAGGGATGACTATGGTTGTCCAAGCTATCCTCTTTTTGCCTGAGCCCAGCCATACCTTAGTCTCTGTGCGCCGGGTTGTGCCATCTTCTGATGTGACAATGGACACATGAGAGGTGGGTGTGCCAGGGTCTTCCTCCACTGTCACTGTCTCCTCCAACACCTCAGGTGCCTCGGGCATTGTGGCCAGCGATGCCTGGCTACCCGGGCTCTGTTCCTAGAAGGAGAAGGGTGTCAGAGGTCAAGGTTCCATGTACAAGAGATTCCACCATAGATGTCTGCTGACCATGCACCAGGGGTTTTCAGTTCTTCAACCTAGGGATGAGGTGCAAGGGGAGTCCATCTGGACCCAAAGCACTTGGCATATTGTCCTTGTGGTTGTGGTCTTGACTTTCTTGGTGGACAAGAAAGTGGTATATGGGCCTGGTGGCTCTAGAGACCTGGACAGTAACCTGACAAAGCCAGGGTGGCTCAATTCTCCTGGGTACAAAGTGGCTTCCCTGAGCTGCAAGGCTCTACCACAGGCTTCTCAAGGCCCAAAGAGGGACCAAGAAGGTCCTGCAAGATGTTCTCTTGACATCACTTACCTCTTCAAGTTGGCCTTCCTCCCCCATTCTACTCTATAAACTCCGAATGACTAAGTCTTGGAGTCACAGTTCCAGCATAGTTCACATAATCCCGTGCTAAGATCAGCCAGAAGTCCTCATAGCTCCAAGATACCCACCTTCGAGAGTACAGCAGGCACCCACAGTACTACAATATCCTTGCTCCTTCCAGCCCAGAGGCTCTTGGGACATGGAGACCAAGCATCATATCAGACACTAAACATATAGATTCCAATCTTGCTACCACCCTGCATTCGAATTTTAGGGAAGACAGCCAGGACTGAATCTGACTAACCAGTATGGAAACCAGTATGGAAACCAACACCAAAGGATAGACAAGCTCCTGCTGTGCAGAGTGGCACATGGATCTGAGAGCCCATGGTCTGTCCTGTCAACATCTCAGGATTGGCATCTAGCCTGGACAGGGGTTGGAACTCAAGCTACCGTGGGTGGGTTAGAGGGGACACATTCTTTGTAACCATGGCTAGGTCAGTAGAAGGCTGTGCCTCGCCCACCCAAGGCCCAGGGAGGGTTATTAGTTCACACTGCATCTCCCCCAGCTCTGGAACCACAATGCCCTTCCCTGGGCTGGGAAATGCGCTAAGCAGGGGGCCAGGCTGCAGAGGCCATCAGGACAGTAAACCTTCTCCTCAGGCCAGTTCCTGTCCTGGGGGGGAGTCTCTGGCCCCTGATGGAGACAAGTATACAAGTGTAGCACTAACATAACAGACATCTCCTGGGCTCTGGTAATACAGGAAAGTGGGAACACAGAGCACACCTCTCCCTCCCCAAGGAGCAGGGCCTGGAGATTTAAGAGATGACTTTATAAATAAGAGAACTGAGGCCTAGCTGAGCAGAGGTTTGCCCAGAACTTCAGCAGTCCTAGCAGGGGGATTCCAGGAACCCATCTGAAAAGCAAGCCTTCGAGCTTTGCCTCACCTCTTCAGGACAGTGCCTTGGCAGTTACTTTCCTAGCCTAGGGATAAGAAAGAATGTCTGCTGGGACCTGGCCAGGAAGAGGAGACCCTGTTCCCTGGGAAAGAGAAACAGATGAGGCCCTATGGGGGGACTGGAAAAATGCCAGACTGGGTGACCTGGGCACTTCTCCAAGGACACTAGTTGGGACAGCTGTGCTGAGGTCTGGGCTGTCCCATATCTATTTGGTGACTGAATGTCAAGCCCTAGCTCTCACTGCTGGACCCTGGGGAGCTAGTCAAGAGGGTTTTTTGTTTGGTTAGGTTTTTTTTTTTCCTTCTTCTTCTTTTTTTCTTTGGAGGGGGTGGTAGTGGAGTGAGTGGGACCTAGGGGCTGCATTTCTAGATCTGGAGGAGGGGGAGGAGCAAGGCTGAGGGTACATGTTGCTTGGGACATTCTGCCAGGGGACAGGGCCCCTTTGTAGATTTGCATGCATCTACATATATTAAACATTCAGAAAAGAACCCTACCCTATTCCCTATCTAGGTAAACAAGAAAGGACAGAGGACATTTGAGTCACAGACCCTGGGCTGTGCTGAGGTATGACACATTGCTATGTGTGGAGTGGTTTGGAGAACCAGGGATCCAGCAAAGGGTGGCAACCCAGAGTATTCACCCACTAACATATGGGCTGAGGGATCCAAAGGTTCCAGAGTCTCTGCTAGCAAATGACCTCAGGAAGCTAAAAGCAGTTAATGACCTCACCCAGACAGGCAGGCGTGTTAAGTCAGCCATGTTCCTGGGAGAGTCAGGCCAGCTACTCATGCCTGGGCACACACAGGGAGGGATCTGGACTCACACAAACTCATGTCTCTAACCCTCATGTATATGCACAAGTTCCCAATCAGGAACACAGGTACAACCGCGTTATGTATGCACATGGCCACTGCTCTCAACACACCCAAACTTTCATCCGTTATTGGTACTAGTCCTTACATGTGCTTCCAACACACAGGGAAGGAGCCACTGACACCCAGTCACCAACTGACTGTTGGTTTTCAGTGGTAGTACATATGGGAAAACTAAGGCCTCGGGTAGCAAGATGCTGAAGGCTATCCTGGGACTCAGCTTCTGTAATTTGTCTGAGGTGGGTCCATGTAATGGAAGGCTGGCAGTGTCTCCATTCAGCCAATTCATTTCCCCATACTTCTAGCCCTGTAGCCTAAGAGCTGATTCTGGGCTATTCCTCGCTGGACCTGACATGGGCATCTTTCTGAATATTGCCACAGCCCTGTGCAACACATTGGGAGCCAACTATGTATGGTCACCCTCTCCCTAGCTCCAGCCTCATCTCTTCTCCTCTAGTAACCGTATCCTTTCTCCATACTTTGGAGCTACAGGGTCTGGACAAAGAAGAGTTGCTGAACAGACCTGGGGTTTGCTAGAGTTCTCCCTGCCTGAGGAGGACTACCCAACCACCATGCTCTCTAAAAGAGCCCAAGGGGTGGTGACGAACACAGACCTCTGGGAGCTCAGCTTACTCATGCAGAAAAGGGAAGGACACAGGAACCCCATCCAGCTGTTTGCACAATGCCAGGACCATGGAGAGAAAACCAAGATGTACTATGACACAACAGCTCATGCACTTTATGGATGAACATCTACAGTCTCCATCACACAGACAGACCACAGGCCTTTGTGCACCTCCCTGCGCAGTCCCTGTTGGCACACATCAATCACAAAATGAAGTGAGATGCATACCTGGAGCCTACACCTCCAGGGCCAGGTCCCTAGGGTGCACAAGACGGCTACCAGTGGATGGATGGATTGAATTCTGAACTCCAGCATGACCCTCCTAAGCAGAATGTAGGGCAAGTCAGGCTGGCATCTCCTATAGACAGGCCCTTGGTCTCCACAAAAACACCACTTCCTTTATGTCTCTGCACAACCCTTCCACAGCCCACAGAAAAAGTGAACCTACCAGGGTTTAAGTCCAAACAGTGGCTAAAAGGCCAAAGGGACACAAGCTGGGGAGAGGGCCAAGCGTCACCATTCCCAGCTTTTCTTAAGCCCGGAACCTATGGACCACATCAGGTATGTGAGTGTTCCCTTCTACCACCAAGTGTCTTTTAGGCAGTCCCTGCTCCATGCAGCCTCATTTCCCTTGCTACTAATGAACCCCACCCACTTCCTCTGAAACAGTAAGGGCTGCACACCTGCCCCTCACCAGTACTGGAAGGTATATAGGCTGCCGCCAGCAGACCCCTCCCGCCACCACACGTGGGCAGTACCAGCCTCTGCTTCTCCCTTACCCTCCCCTCCGCCGCGGCAGAGGTTTCCATTAAACCTCCAGAAGCTGCTCCACTGGTCCCCAGAGTGTAGTCAGAGGTGCACGGAAAGGGGCTGGAGGGGAAGCGAGAGAGCCCCCAGGGAGCAAGAGGCCTAAGCTACCTTTCTTGGGCTGGTGGGCCTCGCTCTGTTCAGGGAGGGGGCGCTGGGAAGGCCTTGTGCCCCGTCCCCTCGACCCCCGCCACCTGTCCCACGATCGGAGGGGTGCACCCTTCACGAGTCATGCTCGATCTGAGCGCTGGGTCTCCTGGTTTGCGCCCCCACGCGGGCTCCAGCCCCTGCCGTACAGCCACGCATGGTGCTCGCACACGCCCCCTCCGCACAGGGCAGCAGGCTCACTCAAGCCACAGCTCCTGGCCCTGGGGTCAGCAAAGCCGGCTCGAGAGCAGACAATAGCTACCGAGGGCTCACGGCTCTCCTAAACAAAAGCGGGTCTTGCCGGGTAGGCCGGGGCCTCAGGACACCGCCCCCGCCCTCCGCGAGGACCGAGTTCTTTCTAACCTGTCTGAGTTCGGCCGGCATCGGACCGAGGCTTGAGGCTGCAAGCCCGCAGAGGCGGCAGCTGGACCGCGTTTCGTGGGCGCCTGGGCCGCTCCAGGTCTACTGACTCGCTCCGGTGAAGGCGGACCTGCCAGCGGCAGAGACCAGCAGCCAATCGGGCGGGGCGCAACCAGGCGGGGCGGGCGAGGCTCCGCCCCCCACAGGCCGGGGCGGGACTCTGCAGCGAGGCTTGACGGGTCGCCAGCCTCTGGTCTTGGCTCCCAGCATCACGCCCTAGGTCGGTACCCCACTGCCACTCCCATACCAAGAGACTCTGGTAAAGTCTTCCTTCTGAGGTCTCAATCTAAGCCCAGTGAATGTGTATACGACCGTCTGTCTACCTCTACAGCTGTGTGAACTTAAGTCCCGCAGAGCAGACCAGGAGCAAAATTACCATCCTGGGACAAGCTACTTATCCTAACTTTGTAAGTCACTTTCCTCTAGACATGTATTAGTATGGTCAAGCTGCAAATTCTCAGGTCCACATAGATCTCCAAGTCAAGGTCACCGTAGAACTTAGTAAGGACTTAAGTGCATAACCCCACAGGGTACCCAGTTTGTGTCTTGAGCTCCCCATCAAAACACAAATCAATATTTTCTCACCCTTTGAAAGCTAATACAATATATCAAACAGTGAGGCAAAAGGCCAAGTCTGAATTGCCCTGGGCTAGAAAGTCCCTGGATTGGGACTCTCGTCAGAAACCCTGGAACAGAGCTGGCTTGAACTATTGGGAAATGACAGATAGGCTGTGGGGATCTGAGCCACCAAGATGTATCCTACTCCACCTTACAGCAGCCACACCTGGAGAGTTTGACTGCTGGAGGAAAACAAGTACAGGGAGGGGAAGAGCATACACTAAGGCCGTCCTCAAGGCTGCTATACTGCACAACATACCAATGACTCCTTCATCACATGGAACAGATTTTGAGAGAGTAGAGTTGGGGCTAGCCTAGGGATGTTCTGAGGGTACTCCAAGGAAAAAGGGGCCCAGGTTGGATTCCCTGGCTACTGTCTGCTCCACTCCACCCCAATCTGAAAAGTGAAACTTGCCCTAGGTTCCATGGTGCCTCTAGGATGAGCCACTGACAGAGGCTGCACTGTAAGATGCTCAAAGGTGCTCATGCTAGGTGCCCACTAGCCTCAGTTTCCCATGCAGACCAGAATGCTCTGACTTCTGACCTCCTTCATCCTCCAATCATAGCCACCCAGACCAGTGAGCAGAACACAATGTTTTGAGGGAATGCAGCCCAGATTTTATGTTGAAGCTGTTTTGGTCGTCTGTGTGTTTTCTAAATGTTAGTGCCCTAGCCACAAACCCATTTTGGTTAAGCCTGAGGCAAGCACAGTAGCCTAGCTGCCAGGACATAGTGGTGTGCTATGTGACCCCACCCCTTCAGCCCAGGGTGAAAGTCAGCTCTGCTCTAGCTGATGAAAGGCAGACAGCCCAAGGAGCAAGGCTGCGTGCAGTCCTTGACCACAGCTCCCAGGTTGCAGGCCCCAGCTACCTCCCTTGCCACCACCATCAACCACCTATGCTGACTTGCACCTCAGAAGTAGGTCCTGGGTCACTTCTCATTGAGATTAATATGCAAAGACTCAACACTGAGACAGTGGCCTGGCTAGCCAAGTCTCTTCATGTCCTCATCAGCCTGTCAGATCTGGCTAGAGCCAAGAAAGCCAAAAGTGGGATAGAACAGTGGGTATGGAGAAGACAGCCTGAGTCTGGCAGCTCCAGACTGTGGGAACAGCTTCCTGCCAGGGTACTGACCCTGAGTGTTCCCTGGGTCTATCCTCCCATGCTGCTTGTCAATGAGATGGAGAACAGAGACTGTCTGTCCTGGAAGGGCTGCCCTGAGGTCCTTAGGGCCTAAGGAACAGCCTCAGGGTCAGTGGCTGACACTGACCTCATGTGGCCCTGTTGAACTGGTCGACTTCCTGTAGAAGGTTAGGGAAGGTTACAGATACAGAACTCACTATGTGAATTGGGTATGTTTTCATATGGTAGGGTCTTCTGTAAACTACAATCCCCAAGGCTTCACCATGTGGAAGACCTAGGGTTTGGAGTTTGACTCAGCAAGCTCCTCATGGGTGTGCCCCACCCATCCACACCCATCCCCTCAGTTCTAATTCACTGTTCTGCCTTACAGAAACCACTTACCACCATGCAGTTGGAAAAAAAAGGGCTCTTCAGCCAGATGTAGTGGGGGCATACCTTTAATCTCAGAAGTCACAAAGCAGAGCCAGACAGATCTCTTGTAAGTATGAAGCCAGCCAGGGCTACATAGAAAAATCTTGTTTCAAAGAGAAAAACTGGTACAGGAAGAAAAATGGCTCCTAATGGGCTTGGGATTTCCTGGAATTTTGGTTTTGACTGCTCTACATTTTAGGTAAGTAGATGAGAATTGATGTAGTAACCCTTATCTGTGAACCATCAGACAAGGACAGATTCAGGGGCCAGTCCCAACATGTCTATCTGTCTAACACAGGCAGCTTGTCTATGAGTCAATCATGCCCAGTGCTTTCTTCTCTCTCTGTCTAAAGTGGGCCAGGGTTCCTCCAGTCTCTAGCAAGTGCATGCTACACATAGTCCCCAGGATGAAGGTCCAGGAGGACCATAGAAGCTCAAGGACAGTGGATGCAAAGCATGGAAGGGCAGCTGACCAAGTTTAAGAGTGCAGGAATTGAGCAATTGAGCATGGGAAACTGAGGATCCACAGTAAGCTCAGAGGTCAAGTATCTGTTCTGAGTGGTGAAGAGCGGTCATCTCTTCCTGCTGGTATCTGGGTGAGCCTCAGCCACAATGGAAACCTTGATAATCACAGCAGACTCCAAACTTCTGCATTTCCTCATGCTGGGACCTTGTTACATGTGTGTAGGGAAGTTGTAGGAAAGTAGGGAAGGGCCAAGAAACTCTGATGACTGGCTGTTCACCCCACCTCAGCATTCTCTGGTCCTGGCTATGGAACAGGGCTCCCCACCTGGGGCCTGAACACTCTCTACAGAAAACAGCCAGGGGAGAATCTGATGCTTCTCAGTCACTGAGCTGTAGGCAGATGATGGTATCTTGCTGGGCTAGACAGAACAGACCCAATCCAGCTACCTAGGTCCTGAGGGCTCACTCAATAGAGGGGGCTGATTCTGAGAGTCAGGCATGTCCTGCTCTTTTCTTCATTCCATACCTGGCACAGACAAATGGGGCCTCTACACCCATGGGATCTACTTTCCTTCCCCTGCCCCACGCCCCAGCAGACCTACAAGTTACTGCATGCTAGCTATGATCCACCAAGACCTCAATGGTTTCCCTACTTGGCTGTCTTCACCCTCCCCCCAGACTATTACCTGCAGAACCAGCTGTTGCCAGGCCATTGGCAGGGGCTGCCCACTGCCCACCATACCACCACTGCTTATGCCAGGCTGCTGAGCACGCTCCAGCTGCAGGGCAACGTGACGCCGTTCTTGCTCCAATGCCCGTGTCAGCCTCTCGAAACGGGCCTCCTGTTCCTTCACTGAGGCCAGAATGCTGGCAGCCGAGTGCATGTTGCAGTCCTCCATAACCAGGGTGCCAGCAGCCTGCAGGCGAAGGAGAACAAGCTCAGGGTAGGGTGGAGCATTGACCTGGTGAGGCCATCCTGGGCCCCCTGCCACCCTACTCACAGATCACAGGACTTTCCCAGACCAGAGCATCCAGCTCTCTGGAGGGAAGCTGCATTGATTAAATTCTAAATTAAAAGCCATTAATCTGAAGCTGGCCGGAAGCAGGCAACTCCCTCCCTGGGAGGCTGGGCCTCTGACCCAGGCTCTTCAGTTTCCTGCCAAGCCCAGCTGAGCCATGGACCATGGATGTCTTTAGAGCCTGGTAGGAAGGATGAGGAGAACTGGTGTGATAAGTTCTCTCTATCTTCCAGGCTTCTGGTTGTCCCTGATTCTGCCAGCTAATAATTCCAATCTCATGGGATCACTTCAGTCCTGTCTCACAGGGATCCACAGTGGGTGAGGGGCCATTAGCAGTCACACAGTCAGTATGGCCAGGTCAGTGCAGCCAGCAGGCCCTTGTGAAAGGCTATCCCACTCCAAGAACAGGACACTAAGGCAGGGGGGTGAGGATCACTACCTTGCAGTTGCTAGAAATACTGACTGTGGACCAGGAATCAAGCCTCCACTCACTGTTACTCTACCCAGGACAGGGTTGTCTCTGCTTCTCTTGGCTGAGTAATACCTGGCTGAGGTTCTAACAGAGCTACATTAAGTTTAGACCCCCCCCCCCCACACACACACCTTGCTTAAAACGGGCCTGTCTGTGAGAGGCCCAGCCCACAGGGAGGCTCAGGCCTGCCCTCACACTAGCCCAGGGCTGTTCCTTGAGCCCCAAAGCCCCAGGGGTTTGGAGAGAGAGCGGGCTTGATGTTTGTGGTGATAACCCATCATTTTTCTTTGCCATTCATTCTCTGGCTGACCACTGTGTTTGTTTCTCAACAAAAAGTAGGCCAAGTATGCAGAGCTCAGATCCAGGCTATTGGCTGCAGTGGGGTACAGCCATACACCACCCTCAGTGTGTGGCCTAAAGCCCAGGGCTGTTTGGGACCTGCTCCCAGATGGTTCCACCCAGCCCACTGAAGCAAATGGCTAGCCCACTCACCCCTGAACCAATACAGTGCCTGCGCTTAGAAAAGGAAGGCTCCTGCGTGGGAATGCCATGTATGTACTTGGTGATTCCCAAAGAAGACCAATTCTGCAGCAGTCTGATGTGACACATGTACCTCAGTCCACCTAGCAAGACAGCTGGGGAAAAAATGAGGCCCAGTGAAGGAAAGAAGTGAGTGTTGGCCCCCACAGCTGTTCATTTTCTCTGCACCTGTCACACAAATAAAACTTCCAATGTGACCCTACAGAAACACTGCTGTGGGCAGGAACTGTCCTCAGTTAACCATAGCCTGTAAAATTAGTCAAACTTCTGTTGGGAGGTGGTCACCACTAGTAAAGAAATAGGAAGGGAGGTAAAGATTGGGCTCTCTAGACAGCAGCACGCAGAAACAAAAGACACAGTCACAGCAAAGGCACTCAGGGCCCATCACACCACAGGGCCAAGGTGTTGATGAGCCGGCGAGATTATATGGGCCGAGCCTTGAAGAAGGTCCCATCCTGGAGGGGAAGCTCACTCTACGGAGGGTTGAATGGGTAATGGAGCTGGACCACTTGAATTATCTTGCCTGAAGCATCAGTCCACCTAAGTGAACTTCAGAACCACAAGGCAGAAGGAAATGTTGATCTTGTGGATCAGAGTTCACTTTCTTCCATCCTCTGTAAAGACAGGGATTCCTACCTTACTTCTGATTTCTCCCTGTGCCGTCTAGCCCCATCTGGCATAACCAAGCCTGGGTTGTAGCCTAGAGATAGTGTCCCAGCCCTCAGGTACCTTAAACGTGCCACAGCTCTGGCAAAAAAGATTCATCACTGGCTTTAGATGTGGCTAGTGGGGTCCAGAGGCTAAAGAACATCGCTAAACCTCACACTGGCCTTTTCATTGGCCAATTCAACTCATTCAGAGCATTAGTTGTGTGTTTCCCAGGGAACACCCTGAAACACTAGTTAGATTGGGGAGAGGTAGAGTCTTGGCAATTCCCATAAGAGAGCCTGCCAATGTGTACCCTGTCTGCTCTTGGATGTGGTACTGACCCCAATGGCTATGGGTACCCATCTAGGCTGGCCAGAGGAGGTACAAACATGAGACAGGTGACCAAGGCCTAGAACCCCAAAAGACAAGGTTTTACTCTGTTTGTTTGTTTTAGGATTTTTGAGAGTTTCACTTTATAGCTCTAACCTGCAACTCACTCACTTTGTAGGCCAGGCTAACCTTGAACTCCCAGGGCTGTGTGCTTCTGCCTTGACTACAGAGATTAAAGATATGCACCACCATGCCCAGTTCAGGGCAGCTTTTTTTGGATAGTACCTCAAAATGCTATTTTTGTATTAAAATAATAGCTATAAAGCTGGGTGTAATTACACACACCTTTATCCTAGCACTTGGGAGGCAGAGGCAGGCAAATCTTTATGAGTTTGAGGCCAGCCTGGTCTATGGAGTGAGTTCTAGGACAACCAGACCTCCACAGTGCAATTCAGAAAACAAACAAAAACAATAAATATATGCTGTCAAAAAAAAGAAAATGCATGTTTTTGTTTGTTTGTTTGTTTTTTAAATACTGACCATACAGACTTCAAAGCTGCTTCTCCCAGCTAGGATTTGGGGGCAATGGGCTGTAGATCTTGGGGAGAGGTGGGCACTGAATATGCATCTGCTGGAGCCCAGGGATCACCTCAGGAGACTTAGCAAGTGTGATGCTATGAGCTTCAGTTGACATCCTTTACTGCTGGCCTCTACTGGCCTGGGACGACTCAGGACCATGCTCCACACAACACTCAACCCAGGCCCCAGCAACCAACTGCACAAGTTCTTGTTCAATGTACACGAGACAGAATAATTAAGGGGACCCTCAGTGTAACACCAGAGAGAGGCCAGAGGACCCAAGACCTGGATGAGGGAGTTGGAAAAGTCAGGACCCAGGTTAAACTTGAAAAACTCAATTTCAAAAGAACAGCGGCTGCCAGACATGATGACACACATGGGCAATCTCAGTCTTGAGAGGCAGAGGCAGGAGCACCATCACAAATTTGAGGCTAGCCTGGTCTACATAGCTCAAGGACAGTTAGCACTATATAGTAAAACCCTGTCTCAAAACAAATAACAAACAGAAAACAGGGCCAGGAAGATGGCTCAGTAGGTAAAGTACTTGTTGCCTTGTTGCACAGAACTGAAGACCCAAATGCTGCTTCCCAGAACCCATGTGAAAAAAGACAGTGGCACAAATGCTATAATCCTAGCACGTTCCTACCAGAAGAATCTTGGGATGCTCCAAAGCCAGCAGCCAGCCTAATGCTGAGGACTGACATCCAAAGTTTGTCCTCTGACCCTCCACATGTGAACTATGAACTGTGGTATGGGTGCCTGCTTACACACTTGTATACAAACATGTGCACATATGGGCACAGAGAGAGAGAGAGAGAGAGAGGGAGGGAGGGAGAAAGGGAGGTGATGGGAGATGTCATTCTGTATATGTTTCTCATACTGGTTAATAAAGCAAATGCCTCCACAGGTTATTCAGCTAAAAACTAGTGCTACCTCAGTGTCAGTTAAACAGTGCCCCATGAGTAGAGAGGCCAAGGAATGAGCACAGCTTTCAGTGCTGGCGGTAAAATAGCCACCGCCATCTTTTATAAACCGTGGCAAAAACAATAAAGACTTTCATTTTAACAATGTTGTTATTTAACACATAAAGACTTGTGGCCAGAAAAAAATAAAAATTTACATTAAAAACAGATTCATATTAATAAAAACCTCTAAAGGTTTACAATGTTTTAAAATATATGTAGGCTTGGGAAAAAAATGGTTTTAAAAAGACAATGGGGAGCTGGGTGTGGTGGCACACGCCTTTAATCCCAGCACTCAAGAGACAGAGGCAAGCAGATCTCTGTGATTTGCAAAGTAAACCTGGTATGCAGAGTAAATTCCAGGACAGATAAGAGTTACACAGTGAAACCCTATGTCAAAAAATGAAAAAAATAAAAGTAAAATAAACAGAGTAATAATAAAGCCACGTAAAGATGAAAAGCTCAGAGAGAATCTGGTTACTGTATGCTATTGTGTTGTCTCTGCATTGACTGCTAAGGAAACAACTGTTAAAACAAATGCTGTTAAATTAATTCAATTTATATATTTTAAAAATGCTTTGACTCAAAAATTTAAGTCTAAGGACAAGTTACTGGGGAAAAGGATTTCTATTTTTGTTTCCACAGAAAATGAAAAGCTGTGGATTCCTTCCAGACTAATGTGGTTTGAGCAAGCCAGACCCCCTGAAACAGAGTTCCTGGTGATCCAACATTCAAAACAGCTTGGACAAGATAGCCTTGCAGACTACAGCCATCTTCTTAGGATCCCCATGACAGCGCCCCCTATCAACAGAAAATAGTTTGGAAAGAACGACGCCCAAATTCCCAAATATTGTTTATAAATGTTTGTTTTCATTTAAATGGGGTTGGTTATAAATGGTTAATGATCACAGCCAATTCTTTTTAAAGGTAAAAAGGGGATTATGGTATAGATATGAATACTTTGTTTTGTAATGGATTTTCATTTATTGATACAATTTAAGGTCAATTTTGTGATGTGTATATTCTTTTGTTTAGGTATTGTGTTTATATAGTTCAGAAATGTATTGTATAATGTAGTACAGATTATAGATAATTACCTATGATAGTCAAAGCTTAGAATTAAGTTAGCTAGGTTTTCAAGATACACAGAGATGTATCTGAGATAGATAGGCATTCTTCAAACCTTTCAAAGGCCTACAGAATATGGCATTTAAAATGGTTTAGGGTTTTCGTGACAGTGAGACATAATTGCTCTTGGCAACCTGCACCAAAAAGAAAGATGGACATTGAAAAACTCATTTTGGAGTTTGCTTCCAATATGGCAAGACTAGCCATTTGGACAAGATACTGCTCTTGTGTGGACTGTT